ATTTGGTTGAAATTAAGTTTAGTAATAGAGTAAATAGTAGATTGTTTTTAAAAGCGGTATTTGAACTTGTTGAAGGGAAAACTGCTATATTACAAACCATTGGTTTTAGCCGACTTTATTTTTTATTTACGATTTCTTAATGTCATATTATAAAGAATGTTTTATTGCATACTTATAGGAAACGAACCAAAATTTAAAAAAAAAATTTAAAGCCATAACAGACAATTGTTATACTTTACCTTGATTGATCTACACTATTAAATGGTAATTATAAAAGATATTGCATAAAACTTAGTGTCTATACAACAAGTTTATGTCTATTGGTTTTGAGTTTCAGGGTTGAAATGAATTTACTTTATCAGTGATTAAGTAATACCGATGTACAATGTTATATCCTTTAACAATTAAAATTTTATTAAGGTTACTATCAAACCGTGGACCAATAAATTTTTGTTAAATAATAAATTTAAAACTCAAGCAATTTCGAATATTGTGAAATCTACAATATTATTTGAAAAACGGCTGCACTGCAAATTTAGAAATAAACAAAATGCATTCTGATAATAGCGTTGTGATGAAACACACATAATGATAAAACAAAAAAAACACAAATTTTTTTATGCTGAATAAGGATGAATAAGGATGTTTTTCTGTTGATTTGGTTTAGTCTCTTCTTCAAACATATACATACACATGTGGGTATTTAAATTGAAAGTCCTGTTTGTAGTAATTACTTTTGTGCGTGATTACGATACATTTATAATTGGAATTTTTTTGTTTTGATATTTATTTGTTTGTGTTTTGAATTAAAAATTAAGTGTCCGGCAGTCAAATCTTTTACTATATATGAGTTTTATTTATATTCAAAGACGTGCCTATTAGAAATCGTGTGTGTAAAGTTTTTTTATTTAAGGTTTTTTCGAGATGAAAATTGTTTTACATACAAATATCCTTTTAGATATTAAGCACATTTATGTTCTATGGAAATTTATTTTATGTTCACTTTTTATTTGAAATAGGTAATTGTATATACTTCAAATTTGATTGATCTACGCTATTAAACAGTAATTCAAAAAGAAATTGGATAAAATTTAGTGTCTATATAGAAAGTATATGTTTATTGTTTTTGAGTTTGAGGGTTGAAATGAATTAAAGTAAACTTTGTTACGGGATGTGTCCAGAATTCCTAAATAAATTTCTTATTTTTATATAATAGAATAAACGTTAATAATTAAAACTGATTGTTTCGAAAATATCTCATGATTATAGAAAACAAATCTTTAAATGCCAAAGTAAAATAATAAGAAAGGGAGAAAGAGCTGTGTAGATGGAAGGAGAGAAGTGAGAGATAAAGAAGAAAGAAATGACATTTAATTGAAATATGAGTATATGCTATATATACAGGGTGATTCTGAAAGTCATACAACAATATATACCATTGGTTAGAAGATCGAAAATGAATAAAACTTTTGTTCCGGACTGGGTGCCAAATCTTAAGGGTTTCCGAGTTCCAGGGATTTTAACGAATTTTCATGAAATTTTTACTTATCCAGGTTTTTTGATTATGACTTTGGTGCTGAAAAAAATAGAAACTTCCTACAAACAGTTTAAGAAAGGTGTAGTAAAGGACTTAAAATAGATATGCTGCTGTATTTTATGTATTTTCGGAATACCAAGCATCCGAACTTTAAAGAAAATAAAATTTTTCCCTTGATTTTTTCAGTGTTTATTAGCTAGATAATTTCGTAAGAAATTTTTAAAACTTTGAATTTTTTTATAGAATTTTGCCCAGCTGCTTAAGCTTTAATTTAAGTCCTCAAGCAAAAAAATTTTTATGTTACAGAATATGTAGCACTAAAAACCATTTCTAAGTCAAGATTTTAAAGACGCTTAAAGGCAATGATTTTAAGCGTTGTAATTATTTACTATCATTAATTTTGCATGACGAGAGTCACTCGAAAAAACAGTTGACATTTTTAAGAGCCGTTATTTTGATAAAAGGTCTGAATTTTAATGTTTTTATTGAAATGTAACAAAATTGAAACGAAATTTTATGCAAACTTTTAATTTGAAAAACAAAAATTGATTTTAAAAAATTTCAAATTTTTGAAAAGAAAAACTAGAATTTTGTATTAGGAAAAACAAAAAAAATCTAGTAATCAAAAATTTTTTTTCGAAACTTTTCTTGGTAAAAAAAATTGATAGGTTTTTTATTTTGCCAGTTTTTATAAGAAATGGTACCTATATGGTTTGAAATTTTTAAATGCATTTTTCTGATATTGGGTGCGATATAAAAATTTGAAAAAAATATTTTTGAAATTTAGGTACCATTTGGCATCGGAAGTTACTGAAATTATCCAGCTGAAACGAATTTTTAAAGGTATGGCATATAAATTTGAAAATTTATTTTAAATGAAAAAAATATTTTTTAATAGGAAAATTTATTTTTTTTTAAACCAAAATGGAGTTCGTGATATTTGCATCATGAAGCTAATAAATAATTAAGAAATAGTTTAATGAAATTAATAAATTTCAAACATTTTTCTACAAAAACTAAATTGGCATACGGTTGATGCACCTAAAGAGGTTTTCCTGCAAAGCGATTGAATTTTTGTATAAGGAATTCGTATTTTTCCAAATTTTTTGATAAATGAATATTAAATTGAATTTAATTACATTGTACATCTGGTTTGAATTTAATTGAATTTGTAGTTTTTGTACCTTATCTTCTGTAAATATATTTTAAAAAATTTCTTGCGAAAGTATCTAGTTAGAATAAACTGAAAAAATAAAACAAGGGAAAAATTTGATTTTCCTTAAAGTTCGAATGCTTGGTATTCCGAAGGTACACAAAATACAAAATCATCTTCTTCAATCTTCTAACCAATAGTATATGTTATGTTGTTATATAACTTTCTGAATCAACCTGTATAGCACAAAATTAATGTTAAAGTTTTATATAAAAATTGATAACAACTTTCTAATGTTTATCTGTAGAATCAGTTTCATTAAATTGTGTGCAAAATTAGAAACAACTAAGATTAATTAAGTAATTAATATTTTTATAAAGGAAATAATTGCAATGTAAGAGTAGATTGAATTGGCTCTTTGGAAAACTAAAGAACTCCGAAATCTCAATCATGGTAAATATGCTATTTTTGGATTCAAGACTTAAGTTTAATGTTATTTTAATACATTTTTTTATCCGCACGAATTTTTGAGTTTCATCGAGCAATTGCTTTTACACGGTGAAAAAATGTGTTAAAGAAAAAATTTACTATTACCTTTAAATTTCTAACTAAAATATGTTATACCTAATAATTTCATTTTACTAATTATTTTATATTAGACCCCAATAATCTTTGTCTTATATAAAGTTATTATACAAGAATATTGATCTAAAATAATTATTTCATAATTATTGCAATAAAACTCGCAAAAATAATAAACTTGCTCTCAATTGCTTTTGGAGATATGTACGGTAGCAAATTTGGAAAAATATGTAACATATACAATGTATAATGTATATTTGTACTCGTATATTATGTACACGAAATACAAGGAAAATGAGAGATCTTAGTATGCCTTTAACCGGTTTAGATTTCGAGAATTTGAATAATCTTTCGGGAGTAGTTGAAAAAGGGGTGAATCAATTAATTTTAACTTTAAAAATGATTCATAGAAAGAATTTATTGAAAATCAGAAGATTTTATCAGAAGAGTTGTATCGTGATCAATTGTATGTATATCGACTTTAAATCGATAGCACATAAGTATAACAACATAGAATAAAAATTAGGGGGTACTGGACTTAAAAAGCATCGGGTATAATATTACACTTGCAGTATTCTATAATTTAGTTGACTCTACTCACTACTATATTTTACATTAATTTCTTATGAGGAAATTTCAAATTTTGTTTCAAAATTTAATTCGTTTTTGATAAATCACTCGTATTAACTGAAATAAATTCGTAAATTAAGCCAAAGAACGCGTACAAATTCGAAGAAACCTGAAATTTTACGTTTAAGTTGCCAATATACGATCTGTCAGTAAGATTAAAAGCAATTGAGTGCAAGAATTTTCGATCTTATTCTTGAAATATTTGAATGTAATTCTGTTAAATAATAATATTATTCGTGTTTCTTGTGATCAAAACAGGACACTCCGATATTCTTATTGCAGAAGCAAGCTATAATTACTTCATCAATTTTAGATTAGATTTTGAAAACAAAACTTGTCAAGCAAGAAGCAAATTCGTATTATAGCTATTACTAGCGATACGTATTAGTAGTATTCTTTTTTACTAGAAATTTTACTATTCTGTTTAATTCTAATAAGAATAGTAAAACTTCTAGTAAAAATTTCTATTAAATTCTTGTGTTGAAATCTATTCTGATGCTAATTTTCTGTTTACTTTTTTATTACCTTTACATATGATTGATATAGTTTTGAGTGGACTTCGGATTCAGAGAATCAAAAGTCCATAATTCTTACAAAGTTACAATAAATTCGTAACAAGGATCTAAAATAATTACGTAACATGTTCTGACATTAATATTATTTTCAATTTACTTAAGCATCTTTTCAAAACATCGCAGTAAATAATTTAAAGAACTTGAATTATTTATATAAAATTTTTAACAATACTAACAAAACAAAATTTTTCTTTCCTAATTAAATTTACATTAAAAAATTTATGTAATTGCTAGCTAAATTAAAATAATATTCAAAGACTGAAGCTAAAAGTAGTAGAGAAGCAATATTGTTTGTCACAAAACTTTTTAAATTAAATTTTCATCTACAATATATAAGATTAATAAAATTTTAAGATTTCAAGTACTTTTTGTTGTAAAAGGAGAAAATTTTCTTATCATTTTTCATTGATTTTTTTTTATAACTTATTTTTCTTTTGCGGTGATAATAAAACAAAACTATACAACAAACAAAATTTATTATAATAAAAAAAATCCGAAACTTTTAACATTGGTTTATACTTACATTTAAATTTTTCATCTCTTAGCAATTCAATACGTCTTCTATGCATTCTTTTGGGAGCATCACAACGTGCACCACTAGTTTCAATTGGATTTTTGTGCAGGTAATCAGCCAACCACCTTAAATTACAATCGCAAATGAACGGATTTCTAGCTAGATGTCTGCAACGGAAGAAAAAGTATAAAATGTAATAAAAAAATGCCAGAATCAGTGCAAGAAATATAAAGTAATAAATGAAGTTCATTTTTTGTTCTGTTTTTTTTTGTCGTATATAGAAAAATGAAAAGATTTTATAGAATTCAGAGTATCATTTTTGTCATGCTTCAAGTTCACATTCTCTTTTCGTCATTTAATTTTATATTACATGCTCTGAAATCATCATCATATAATAGTCATCACTATCAACAATATTGCCATCATTATATAGCCCGCATCATTACCAGAATGAATCTGTTGCAAAAAAATAAGAAAAAGAGGAGAACTATAGGTACAACAAAAAAATAATGAAATGTGACGGGTGAGTCAACTAACTCTGGTGTAACCGGATGCATTACTAATGTTGGTAGCAAATGACATGGTTTGTTTTTTTCTTTTGTTGTTGTCCTTTTTTTTCCTGTGGTGTGTTTATACAACTTGGTGTACAAAGATGTATATATGAACTTTTTATATATTTTTATGTTTCAAACTTTTTTCTTTAATATTTTGAAAAACGTAACAAAAAGGGTAAAAACTAACAAATGAGAAAACAAACTATAAAGTAGTTAAATTAAAGATTTTTATAAAAAAAATGCAGCTAAAATACTTTTCTTGTGCCTACACATACTAGTATGTGCATACGTCCATGTACACATGTACATACATAAACATATAAAATAATTCTATAATGTTTATTATCCTTGTGTTTTTTCCAATTATGCTAGAAAAAAAAATAATTCTGTTTTTTTCTCTGTTTTAAGTAAAATAGAAAGCCTTAATTAAAAAAATAAATTTAGGAAATATTTTGCATAATTAAAGAAAATTTTTTTAGTTAAGTGAAAAAAGAAAAATGCCATGATTTAATAGGGAATTTTATAGCCAGAAGGGTTTTTATAATATCGAAAAATTTTTTTTTAACTTAATTTTAAAAATTAACAATATTTTCTTTACCAATTTTGATGATTAATTGCAGATAGACTGAAAAGAAAATAAGCATAATTTGTAAAGATTTTTTAAAGTGCAAGAATAATTTAAATTTTGTACGAGCCTTTCTATTTCTTCTACAAATAAAATTAAAACATTTAGCTGAGCGAAACAAAACTGCGGCGATTAAAAAAAGGTTTTGCTATTTCACCTCTATTCTTAATCTCATGTCTTTCAAACCGTCTCGGAAGCAGGTTTGTCTATGTTGTGTAATATTCATATAGTTTATTGATCTTGGCAGAAAGTAGGAATTAAAATGCTATAGCTACAAAAACTTATTAACTTCTTAGCTTAACTTGAATACGTAAATGTTCCAAGTTTTCATGCGTAAAATTGTCAAAAAAATTGTTTAGATTTCATCAACGTATTTCATAAAAATGAAATCAATTTCAAGATAGTCTATCACATAAGTACAATTGTTGCAATTTGTTTGTGCACAATTCTCAAAACTCTACTGTATGTCTTATATGTAGTTTTATAGTTAGTGAAAAAACAACATTTTTTTAAATTAACTTTATTCTATAAAAAAAATTAAGCAGTTTTAACCTGTGTACACTTTCACCTTTTTTTTTCAAAAATTCTTTTTATAAAAGTTTTTTTATAACTTTTATTATTGAAAAACTTTAAAATATTAAAAAAAATCTAACTGTAATATTAAAATGAAAAAAAGTAATTAAAAAAATTTCGATTATTTTTAACTTAAGTTTTATGCACTTAATTGTAAGAAAGTTTCATTATTTTTTACTCAAAAACATTTCAAATTTTTGTTAAAGATTTAATGGATTTATTTCATTACTTTTATTGCGAGATTGATTTTTAGGTGAGGTTTATGCAAAAGTACAAAATATGTATAATAGTTACAAGTAATGCCGTTTGTCCCTTCGAATTGCGAAATATGTCGATACCAGGAGGTATTCTTTGAAATTTTAAAATATGAACTAAAATTCTAAACAGTGGGGAAAATAAATATAATGAAAATAAATATGATAAACAGTAAAAATCTGTTATAACGTATATCGGATATGACCAAATATCGGTTATAGCGCACAAAGTTATGTGCATACGTATATAACATGTATGGAAAACAATTGAGGCGGTAAGCGGACAAAGGGGTTAACTTACATTTGCATTTGAAATATTTTTTTCATTAAAAAATTGTAAAAATATTAATTTTCTTGTTACTTTACGCCCATGTGCACTGTCAATCTCATCTTCTAGTCCACTTACCTCTTCAATTGCTAATAACGAAATCGGTTTTAACGAAAAACTAGCTAATGCTAATGTTCCCACTCGGTAAAAATAAAATGTATCCAACCTCCTAAAGTGGAATTATTATACTAATTTAAATAAGAGGACTTACTCTTATTTAAATATTAATTGACTTTTTTTAATAATTTGAGTTTTGTTATTTTACAGTAAATTCTTAAAGAAATCACACACAACTTCTATTGCATTTTAAATGTAAAGGTAAAGGTAAGAAAATATATATGTATATATTCTACTGCTGTTGAACTATGCGGTAAAGACGATTCACCATGAAAATGGACAAATTTTAAAAAATATGTACAGTCAATGCATTTCCTGTCACACTTAGTTTACACCAAAATATTTCTGGTACGCTCTTGTCTTAATATTCTAGATTTAAATACAGGAAGAGGAAGTACTCATTTATATATCATAAAGTATCTTTCTTACTTCCTTCTAACAAACAAAGCATTTCGCGATTTAATATTTGCAGCACTTTAACGGTTTTGTAATATTTATTTAGTGTTTAAAAAATAAATGTATCCATATTTCAGCAAAATTTTTAAATGTGGCCAGTTTGGGCATTTTAGCAGATTTGAGTATCTTTGTATCCACGATAAACTTAAGCAAAAAATGTACACAAATGGATACAATTGTATCCATGTGGAAATGCTGGTTATAGCGAATGTTTTTACTTCCGCGACGTTTCTGTTTAATAAACCGTTTTTTACTGTAGTTTCTTTTTTTGTTTAGTTTTTTTCATCTTTTAATTTGTTGAAAAAAAGAAAATTAGAGGATATGCGGAATCGTTACGGTTATTATTGAGCTCACCGTCTATATTAATTGCCACAAAACCTTAAGAACCTTATTGTTTTTTATATACCTAGTGGGTTATTACGAGTATATTCACATACCTAGTTCGCCTTAAACTTTAGCACTGTAGTTTAAATATTTTCTGAAATATTATGAAATAACTTTTGAAATTGACTACAAAAACTAATGTAATCTCAATGGTTTATACAAAAAAAGACCTTTTACTAATTCTGAAAATTTCAGAACTGGACCGCAGTAATAAGCTGATTTTATCCCCAATTTTAAAACTAAAATTGCCCTGTTGTCAGAATAAGATCCGCTACATATATTCAATTTTAATTTCAAGGAAAATTTGAGATTGAGGTATTATAAGTTCGTATGAGCCAGAAAACTGAGGTAATCAAGTGTTTGAGCGCAGTTGGGTATTTGTAAAAGAAATACATATACCAATGTACATTCAATATGTCCAAGTGTTTGTATTATACACTTGGATTTCTATCCTTTCAATTCTTTTCCTTATAGAAGTGTTATTAACACAATATAAAATTTCAATTATAATTTACTTTGTTGTATAATAAATATAGGCTTTGTTGTTTATATTTTTAATGTAAATAATTTAATTTTGAATTTTTTATTGACCTAGCCATACATAAGCAAATACGGATACAGAAACATATAGATTTTTTTTAACATTTTTGTGAAACAACAATATACAAGGGCTTTTATATTTTATTCATTTTTTAAAATCCTCTTATTATTGTTTTTAAAATTGAAAATTGTAATTGAAATGAAGAAAACAAAAAAAATCAATTTTAATCGCTTTTTTCTTATTTTTACAATATTTTTTTATTTGTCCTTACTTATTTTGTTATTCAATATAAAAAAATCTCTTGTCAAATAATGCATTTTGTTTTTTATTACACTACACTTATATGTGAATATGATTGCATATCTCTTTACACATCTTTGTATTCTGAGAACTAAGAACCCTTGAACTTCAATCAGGAATCGTATTGTTTGCAAAAGTAATAATAATATCCTTGATTGAACAGATTATAAAAGAAGAAGGAAAACAAGAGACGAAAAATATCAATTTCCAATGATTTTGTTTTTATTTTCCAAGCTGTTAAGAACTTTTTTCTTTAAATACTTTTTTTATCAACCGCACTGCATACAATAAGGGAGGTTATGTGATGACAACAAAATTTGCATATCAAGTTCTCAGTGGGGAAGCGTAAGTAAACTATTTTTAGAGAGGCGCCGGTTTTTTGGTCTGTCGGTGTTTGGTCTGTCTATCTATGTCTGAACGCGTGAATCTCAAGTTCGGCTGAACCGATCTTCGTGAAATTTTTTATGTGAATTTGTTTTGGCTTACGGATATAGCCAAAAAAACTTTTAGAATATATCAGATCTTGGGAACTGGACTTTTTTACGCGCCAATTTTCATTTTTGCCCATATAAAGAGAAATTCCTTGAAATTTAATATTTAAATTTAGATTGTTAAAACAATGAACATTTAAATTTTTTGGAACGATCGAGGCCGGAAACATATTTGGGGGCTCTAATCATCTAAAAAATGTAAAGTCGCATTTTTTACCATATCGACGGAACGGATTGATGAAATTTCTTGAAATTTGATGTTTGAGCTCTGGTTGTTACCGAAACTAACTGGCGAGCTTTGCAGGGAATTCGGATAGTGCAAAGCGAAACTTTACTAAAAGCCAAATTTACATTTTTCGCCATAAAAATTGGAAAGAAAGGTTTAAAAGACATTTTTATAATATTCTGTAACACTTTCACTTAGTTAGACATTACAAATTGCGGTCGGTTACATGCTGGTCACATCAATTTTTTTTACATATTCTATTTTTTTTGTTTGAAAAAAGATTACAAACAAATTGAGCAATTTTTATTTTTTTTTAGGAAAAGATTATAAATATTCAATTTATTTTTCATGTTATATTGACTAAAAGTGTTATATTGAGTAAGGCAAACATATAATAAAGATTTAATGCACAAGTATTTATAATATATGTATGTGTTTTGGGCAAAGTTGCTGGCTTAGCATAATGCATAATGGAACAATAGTTGGTAAATTTGAATAATATTGATACCAGTAAATTAACAGTCTGTTGCTCCTATTCGTCTACTTTTCAAGTAAGAGTAGTTTTTTTTTGAAATTTTGTAGTTCATATTTTCCTAATATAGTTGATAAAATGTGCCGAATTCTTATAAAGTGAAAGGTTAATTTTGAATTAATATATACATTATGTAGCTATAGACAGACAACAGCAAACCAGACAAATTATTGAGGTAAAAATAGTATTGTAAAAGTAGCAGTTCGAATATTTTCAAAAAAGTTACAGTAAGATAACTGTTAAATATTTAACTACTAAGAAGTTATAAACATTTTCCAAATTTTTTTCTTTCTTCTGTGAATAACACTTTGTTCATGCGAAAAAAATCTGCTCAGTGAAATCGAAATTGAAATATTTACAGGATTCTAATAGTCATTCTTCAACTGCTCTCGATTTGACATAATAAAAAATTTAAGTTTATTATAATATAATTTTTGTATGAAATGTTTAATAAATATGAAGTTACTCGTAAATACTACTTGTAAATTTAACCGCTTTGCCCGCACCATACATAATTATGCTATTATGAACATTAAGTAATATGAGTTCTACATGTACAATCTCAATGTGCATATAAAAAAATGTCTATTAAATGTTTATATATTCCAAGTATCGAGCACAATGAGAATTGCAAAAAAAGGAGCATCGATCATTTTTAAAGTCTATCCTGTGCAGACATAATCAGCCTACACTTTTTTTTAAATAGAGAACACAACAAATCATCCTCTTTTCTTTCTTTTTTTTGCAAATAACGGTAACTTTTGTTCTGTATTACTTTTATCAGAAATTTTAAAACCGTATAATTTTTTTTATTTTTTTTATGTCGGTTCATACTTTGTGCAAATTACATACGTACTATTTAACATATTTCTTTATGTTTAGTTTTTTTTAATATGCTCGCGACAGGAACTCTTTTTCCATTCTATTATTTTTTTTCTGTTATTACTCATATGGAGCGTCCTATGATAAGAAGTCATTAAGGTCAAAAAAGGATGAAAATTAAGTTATTTTCATTTTATTTTTGTTTAGAATGAATATGAATTTCAAATAAGAATTTAAGTCAAAAGCAGATTCATTTTACAATTTTTTTTTAATTTATAATTGTTTAAAAAACAGTTTCGAAATAAAGGATAAAATATAAATATTCCTCTCAATTCGCGGGTAGCATATAACCGATTATTCAAAATTACGTTATGTACAAAACTGCGCTTGATTATATTAATCTAAAATATGTAAGCAAAGCGATGTTGCCTTTTTAGTTTTTATACTTTATCTTATGAAAAATTAAAATTGCCTAAAATATAAGCAGAAATTAGCTTTGGGAAATAACAGTTAAAATGGTCCAAAATGAAGTCCAAATCATTACAACTTTTTATTTGTTGATAATATTGCAAGTTATTGAGTTGGCGGTAGGTATCATTGAGTGGCATTTTTCGGAATAATTTTTATAAGTTCATTTTGGTCACAAACCTTTTGCATAAATTGATAACAAACTATTCAAAAATCTAGTACATACATATTTGAAAATGAAATTTCTTAATTAAGCAAATTCAAAATAATTTTTGCAAAATTCTTACATTGTTTTCTAGTTCTCGATTTTTTTCTCCGATGGTAAAAGCTGTATACAGAATTAAGCACTTGTAACAAAAAAAAATAAAAAGGGCTTAGAGTTCCAAAAAACCATGCCATTGAAACTTTTCGGATTCGGATCCTCAAGTTATCTTTGGTCAGATGGATTTATAGGAAGGTTTTCGGCTAAATATACTGAAGATACTTGTATGGTCTGCAATTTTGTTTTGGAACTTTTACAATATAAGTCCTTTGCGAATATAAGTTCAAAGAAAGTTTCTAGAATGGTCTGAAAAAAGTAAAGAAAAATATAATCATTTTCAAAATATTGAACAGCCTTGTAACTTTTGATTAGAAATAATTTTGAAAATCTATTCTGAAGGTTTTAAGGTCTTTTTCTGAAAAAATTGAGGAAAGTTTTTTTTTAGTTCAGTTCAACATACTAATTTCGTCAGCTTCGAAATATCCTTCGGGAATTTTGTTCAATTGAACATGTTTTTGTTTATGCCACAAAATTATAAACGAATAATTTTAGTTTTAATTCAATCCGAAAATTTGGCATTTTGAATAACATTTCTGTTTTTAAAAAAAAACAAAGAACCAGTTGTTGCAAATGTTTTTATGTTTTCTTCTTTTGTTGTTGCAAAATTTATTTTTTAAATGCTTTTTTTTCTGGTGTACAAATTATGTTTGTGTAGGTGTAATTCTATTATTTTATTCCAACTTATGTAAATATATAAAAACAAAAATTTTATACTTACAATGTTTGAATACTTTTCATTGAATCAAATGTTCCATTTGCCATTGACTGAATATTGTTGTCATATAATGAAAGCAGGCTTAAGCTATGCAAATCTTTGAATGAATCTTTACGAATGCAAGAGATTTCATTAGCATTCAACAGTAACAATTGTAATGATGTTAGTCCTTTAAATATGCCAGAGGGTAAATCCTTTATTTTGTTTCCATAGAGAACTCTGTACCAAAATAAGAGAAAGCAAAAAAAACTATAAGTATTTTTAAAATGTTTATTTTTTCTTTTTTTTGTGTTTTACGAAAATCATCAAGAATAATAATATCTGGAGCACAATATATAAGTGGAAAAAAGGCCAGAGGAGGACGGATTATTATATTATTTCAAAATAAAAATGTTATTTTTTTATTTATTTAAAGGATGAAAAAGAAGAAAATTCAGTTTAGAGTTGAAGTAAATATTTGAAATTCTTCCTATTTAGACTTTATAAATATGCTTGCAATTTAAGAGAAAGAAAAAGAATAAATTAAAGATGCAACTTGCAAGAATTGTTGTCAATCTAGCAAAAAAATTAGATTTTAGATATTAAATAGAGCTATAAAGTGAAAATCAGAGTGGTTATTAGATGCTTTTAATATATAACAAAAAAAATGAACATAACAGCGACTTACTGTAAATATGTGGTTGTTTAATTTAAAGACGCATCAAGGAAGAGAACTTTAAAGTTGTTGATTAGGATAAAGGTAATCAATCAAACATAAGTGATAAGGGTATGTTTTTGACGTAGTTTTAAAAGCCAATAATACTTTTTGCAGAATATTTATTTCACCCAGTTATGCAAAGAACGAAATTGTCAAAATTAGTCAAAGCTTTCGAATTTGTACGAGAACTGCTTATTAAAATGAATGAGAAAAACAAAATAAGTTTGCTAATTCAACTTGTTAATGTCAATAATAGTGGCGCTAGTTTTGATTTTTATTTAAAATCTCCTGTTACCAAAACCGAAAGGTACCTGTTACTTTCTGAATGAATTTGGCATAAAATGTTAAAAATTAATTAAAACAGTTTGCTCTTTTAAAAGTAAATAATCTTTTGGTTGCAGTGCAAGTGTTTTTCCGTTGTTGTTTACAGTGTCATTTCATTTAAAAATACGTGCGTTTTTTGAAAATTAAAATAGATTTCTGATAAAAGATTCGATAAAATTAGACAGTGACCTTTGATTGGGTGTGTTGGCAACCTCAATCGAGTAGTATAGAGAAATAAATAATGTTTTAGGGGTACGATGTTCTTTCTTGTTGTATTGTTGAAATTGTTTTATTTTATATTTTCTATTTACATTTATGTCTATTTTTTTTTATAGTGAAATAAGAGATTAAAAATCTCTATTCAAATACAGGAAGAAAGCAAAAAAAAGCAAAAAAAGATATTAAAAGCATAAATAAATAAGAAGCAAATGTTCTTCTTGTGTAAGTATTTCTGTAAAAGAAATGTAAGCAGATTAAACAAAAGCCTTTTTGACAAAAGATGATTAGTTAAAAACGTTTTATTTCTATTGTGCGGTTGACTATATACCATGGTGATGAACTAAAATGTATTAAACACAGATTATTTAAATGAATCATTTACTGAATTTAAAAAGAATCATAAAGAGTGGATGCTACTTCAAAAATACGTTTTATTGTTAACTGTGCTGCAAGTAAGATTTAAGAAAACAATAGAATTTAGCAATACTTATAATGAGAAAGTGAAAAGAAAATTCACACTTTGAATATTTTTATTTCCCAATCGCTACAATTCAAATGAGAATGTGTTTTGGAATTGCGTATTTGCAGATTAAATACTCAGAATATCGAAGATTCTTGATAAAAGCCTCCACTCTGTTATTAGCATATTACTCTTTATTTATTTTTAATATTAAATTGTCTTTTATTTTTAAAATTTAAGTTATCAACATCGAAATTATATATATATAACATAACTTACATGCATTTTCTAAAAACAATGTTGTATAAATTTTTATAATGGTTGTGTAAATTGCTTTTACGTCTAAATATTTCCGCGGCATTAGTAAAAAGTAACATTACGATGCCGAAGTTAAACTTTTCATAAATATGCACTATAATTTTTAATAACTCAATACGAACAATTATAAGCGAAGAGGTGAGTGGAAACAGTTTTACAATAATTTTGATATCAAGGTATGTTTTTGTGACTTTTATTCTGACTAATTTGCTTTTATTTTGCAATCGATTTAAACTTTTGATGCTAAAAATTTATTTTGATCTTATCTGTCACACGAAGTTTATCTTTTGGATTTTAACTTTTTTAAAAAAAAATATTTTATTAAATTTTCAACTGTTGCGAACAAAAGTTTCAATTAAAAACTATTTTTTTGATTGATCGAACTCTTGCGTCATAACGAAAATAAAATTTATTTCTTCATTTAAATATTCTCAAAAGAAGCCAATTTGTAAAATCGGGTTTAAAAAAAATGTGTTAGAAATATTAAAAATATTTATGTACGGAAGTTTTAGAGAATTTTAATGACAATATTAATTTGTTTGAAATTTCTTCAGACAACTGCAGAACAGATGGATGACGTAATCAAAGGAACGAGTTAAAGGCAGAAAAATTAAAAATTTTTCTTTTGTCCTCGAACTGGACTCAAACCAGTAACTTACCGCTTTCTAGGTGGACGCTCTAATAACTGTGCTACAGAGGTATGAAGAAATTGCCGTCGAAATGTTCTTAACTCTGCCTTGTACTGTAATCCACATGATTACTAAGTATTGTTTACATTGAGATGCTACATGCAATCTATTATTTGAAACACACAATCACAAGAACATATATATATAAATAGGTATTGTACCTATTACACTAATATACTGAATGTTGTGTTTGAATTTCATTCATATGATCACCAACTGATGACTGAAAGCATTAAGAAATTTTTAGAAGTTTAAAGAACTTTAGTACAAAACTTTTCAAAACCAAAGTACATATTCAGATAAGAAGCTCTGTTATCATACCATCTTCTAACATAAAAATCTTCTTTGTCATATAATTATTAGGCTACAATCAAAATTTTCAAATTTTAAAAGAAATATTTTATTTTTACCAGTTCGCATCAATTTTAATTAAGGATTACAAAAAATCTATAATTTTATACATAAAATTATACAAAATAATTATTTATTCTTCTAACACTTGTGTGATTGACTCGATTTATTACTAGTCCTTTTAGTAAAAAATAAAAGAAGCATTAAAAATTCTTCAAATTGTTTAAAAAAACCACAAAACGTACAAAATCTTCACTCCCAAATACATGACAACTTTATAAATAATAAGTAAATCAAAAATTTTTTCAAATGAAAAAACGAAAACTAAAATTGAAAATTAACCCTCCTTAAAAATATTCAAAGTGAATTAAATTCAATCAATATCACTAATCTGACATTAACTCATAAAAAGATCAAAAACTAAATAGTTCAAAAAATTCCACCAGTGAAAGACACAAAAAAACATAGACCAAAAATCTTTTTATTCAATAAACTTTTTTTACACTATAAATTGAAATTTCATATTTTTTTCCCATTCCTTACATTTAACCAAAGGATAATCGCATACCAACAAATTATAAAGAAAAAAAAAATCAATCTTTTTTTGGTTTTTGATTCCAATTTTAAAACATTAAAGAATAAGGATACTTACAGTGTTGTTAGTGACTTTAATCCAGCAAATGCATCGTGAGCAACTCTCGAAATATTATTATTTGATAAATCGATACGTCTGAGACGACGGAAATTTGCAAAAGCTTTTGGCGGAAGTTCTGTAATGTAATTGTTTTCTAAACGTCTGCAAATATTGCGCAACGAAAAAATGAAAAGAAAGGAGAAAATAATTTTTAACATTATTAAAAAATTCTTATAAACTCAAATTTAATTTGAAAGTAAATTTATGTACAAACACCCATATACTTGCACAATATTATATAATAAAAATAGTTATAAAATTCAATAAAATAGAAAATTTTTCGAAATTCTTAAGAAATGTGTTATATGACATGCAAAAAAAAATAAGGATAAAAAGAAAAGTAACAGAAAAAGAAATAAAAAGTTTGTAAGAAACAAAAACCATTGAAATGGAAAAAGAAATATGAAAACAGAACGAGGCGAAAAATACAAAAAATAAAAATGAGAAAAAAAAATTAATAACAAACTTACAATTCTGCAGTATCGTCTGGTAAAGATGTTGGAACATTTGTTAAACTCTTCTCACGGCAATCAACAATGCCATCAGCACATCGGCATGGATGAGGGCAATTGTTTGTTACACCACATTCAATTGGTGCATTTTCAGTTAGACCTGTTGAAAATTTGATTTTTTTTATTTCAATAATATGAATAAATAATATGAGTTTATGTATGTGTAACTATGTTTAAATAGGTAGTAAATTATATTTAAGACAAATTGATCTTTATTGAAACATTTTACTAAATTGCTTAATCAGATGCAAAAAATACACATTCTTATATTAGATAAACTTGCATTTAGTATGCTTGATAAAGTTTTCAAGTAGCCCATATAAAATAATAAAATTAAATTATCTTGTAGTTTTATTGCTCCATATGGTAGGTACATATAAATAAAGTTCATTTATTAATGCTAGTTACGTACTATTTTTTGTTTGACCTTTTTTATGTAGATTCATAAAGAATTTTCGTCTTTCTTGAAAACCAATTCAAACTGCTACGAAGTTAACGAATTTAATATTTTGTGGTCAATTTGAATATTTAATCTAGTTTGAAATGAGTTACCAGAGATCATAAATAAAAAGTCACCATAAATAAAAAGTGAGATGCAGAATGGAACTCTTAAAATTGAGCTGATATTTTGGGAAAACTGAGATTTCTCAAGATTATTTGAATATTAGAAAAAGCTATCAATATACAAACAGATACTTGATGCCATATGTTTTTTCAAAAAATTTGTGCTAGAATTAGAATATAGGCTTCCAGCCAAAGCGAAAATCCAAAACAATCCGAAATAATTTTTAAACACTATATTTTTTGAATTATACAAAATAGGGAACACTATACATAAAGTTGTCTATAATTTAAGAAGACTAAACCGAACCACAGAGTTTGAAAAATTTTTTATATAATAATTAAAAAAAGAAAATGTAACGTAAACACAATAGTAAACAAGCCTATTGTATACCTTATTTACATTTCAACAAAATTATGGTTTATGATTGAAAATTTATGAAAGAAATTTAAAATTAGGAAAATATTGCAATGTGTTAAAAATAAGAAAAAAAAAAATAAAATTATATTTTTCATCATTCAAATAAAAACAAAATGCAATTTGAAAATTGTACAAAATTCGAAAGCAATTATTCGAATTATTCAAACGTTAAGTTTTTAATATTTTCGTTTTATTGAAATTATCGCAATATAAAATGAAATAAATTTTAATACAAGTTCAAATGTATGTTTATGATTTAATATATTCTCTGTAAGTATATAGACGTGTATGTGAATATTATGTAATTGTAAGTAGTATATATAAAGCTATCAGTTTTCAATGCTGAGACAACTAAAATCATACAAAATTTAAAATTCATTTTGCTTCTGTATTTTGCTAATACAAAATATGGGACCAAATATAACAATCGTTACTCAAATTTGTTTAGGGAATTTGTTTTAAGAATTACCATTCAAAATTATGCAATCATATTTGTATATTGAATAACAGCATTTATTTTGTGCAAGTGTCTATATATGTATAGCTATTTGTATGTAATACAAAAATAAACCCTTTTTTATACAAAATGCTAGAGATTTTTATGTAAGCATTTTCTTTTTCTATTTTAATTTTTCTTTCTAAATATTAAGGATTCTTTCGACTATAAAGTTTAAAAAATTGTGAAATAACCCTATTCTCTATAATATATACATAAAAAAAGAACTTCATTTAAAATTTTTAAAACAAACGAAAAAACTGAAAATAAAAGAATAATTTTTAAGGGACAAATATTTAGTAAAAGTTCATTAACTCAAATAAACTTTGTGTTTTTCTATTATTATTACATGGCCATTATAAAGGTTATAAAAACCAACTTTTGATTATATAGACTTTATCCGTAAAGCAATTGTAAAATTTTCTCTTGTCACATTTAAAATAAAATACAAAAAATACCTATACATATTGAGTATTATATGTTAAGGATATTAAAGTGTAGTAATTTTAAATTGTTTTTTAATAAAACAAGACCTTTCTTTTCTTCAGCATTATGTTGCAGAAGATAATAAGAGATATTTGTGTTTTTGGCAATAATATAACGCAGAGTGGTGGTATTATGAATTTAATTATTTGTTTTTGGAAAATTGTTGAGATGAATTTATAATGATTTAAAATAGAATAGAGTTAAAGGGTTTTAATTGTGATCGAAAAGAAGTGAATTAAATAACAAAAAGTAACAAAATCAAGTAGACACTTATTTCAAGACCAGAAGTTTGAAAGGTCAGAGAAAATGCCAATAATTTTATTTCAATGCGAAATATATGGAATAATGCTAAAAAATATTTGAATATATGAAAATTAACACAAAATTTCTAAAATGCTTGGAAAATTAGCTAAAAATCAGCTTTTAAAAAACAAGTTTTTATCCTTAAAGGCTTTTATATTTTTAATTCCTTTCTTACACGATCGTTCCAATATACACTCATCATTGTTAAGAAGGACTGAGCAGCAAAATTTCAGTATTGCTTTATCATTCTTTAAACATGAATAATCCTACCTTTGTAAGTTAAGATATTTTGTATATTTCTGAAGACGTTTTTTGTACATATACGTACATACAATTTAAATATAAACTTTTTATATATTAAAGGATTTTCTTAAAACAGAAAAAGGACAAAAAATTGAGGAAGCGTGTATTTATTTTAGTTGCGTGTAAATACAACTAAAAAAAAATAAAAAACATATTTTTTTAAATTTCTTATTTATTTCAGATACACAAAACCATTAAGGGCATTTATATTACAAACTAGCTTGAATCAAAATATTTTGATTCAAGCAATTAAACTCCCTACTCGATATTAATAAATGCTAAATTTACGATTAAACAATGCTTATCATCTGCAATCATTTCACAGGATTCTAGGAACCTTTATCCATGAAATAAGCAAAAAATTTTTATTTTTCGAAACCCCTTCATTAATTATAATGCGAAAGAATGTCTGACTTTATGTTATGAGTCTACAATGATTCCAGAAACCCTTATAATTAAAATGAGGGAACAGTTGCTATTTTTCTGCATTTCTTATAAATAGTTTAAGAAACCTTTACACTTCAAATGAGCAAACTGTTATTAATGTTGTGGAACTTTCAAAAATGATTCCAGAAACCTTTATACTTGAAATTGGCAAAGAGTTACTTGTGTTCTGTAATTTTAATGATATTTTAAGGAAATTCTTTCTAATTGCAAATTGCTAAAATACATGAATTGTGAAAAAGAGTTTCTGTATTGCTCTGTTTTGTCATGAATTATAATAACTTTTTTCTTTAATTACACACATCGCACGCTTAGTCCAAGAAAAGAAAAAACGAAAACAAACAATTATTAAATGAGTAACTTACTGCCACAGATTATAAAATGATTAATTTATAAATCTTACTTACAGTATTACTTGATTTGAGAACTAATCCAAATTATAAAAAAGAATTTTCTTGAATCGTGTTTACTATGTTCTTAGTTCAAAATCTGGCGTCAAAATTTCATAGATTAAAAAAATTTTCCACAATATTATCAATATCATTTCGCTCTGTGTACAAACAATAAAGAAGGTAGGAAAAAATTCGAAATATCTTCGTTTTATGATGCAGCAAAATGTATAAAATAGTTTGTCTACATTTATTTTATATATTCAGAATTAAATTAGGTCATAATCATCCTTAAAATTTTGCAATATTAATTAATAAGAAGTTTCGCTTACAAATATTTCTTATTTCTCAAACAATATTCTTAAAATTTTTTTAACTTGAGTTTTAGATATCCTAAGATAAGGTGTTGAAATTCAAGTTCCTTTTGAATTTTTTATTTTTAATTGTCCAAAATTTTATTTGTCCTTAAAAGTTCGTCTGCACATGCATTTCATTTTTATTTCTTTTTAAATTTTGAATACAAAAAAAAAAGTTCATCTTGTGTAAATGTCCTTCCTAATTTTTGATCTGTTTTTTACTGCATATAAATGGAAAATACCCAGGATACCAACTTTTATTTTTTTATTTCGTTTTTTGTGTAATTTTGTTGATACCGCATAGTACCATTAATTAAAGATGCATGCGTCGAAAATGTCAGATTAGAATGTTACCATCACTTGAAATTTTTTTGCTGTGTTTTAAATATAATATGCATATTATGTACAATGTTAGTGCATGTAAATTTGTACATGGAACCACAAAAATATAGAAAATATTTTCAAAGGATACTTAACAACAGTAAAAAGATATTATGTATCTATAGTGAAATTGTTAAACAGTTGCTTTATTCGGGATTGCAAAAAAAAACAGTATTGCTAAACTTACTTCTCTTTATGCAGATGTGAATTGGAAATTCAATGTATGTATGTAGGCAAAAATTACTTTATATAATAATTGTATGTGAATACTTTGTTTTCATTTTCAATTTGAATGCAAAATAGTACACATAGGTTAAACGAGTACGTTATTTTATCTGATAGAAATTACCGTTTTTTTTCTTTTTGGTTTAATTTTTAACACCGTGCATGCGATAGTGGCTTATTGGAAATTTTTTTTAATTGTAGTTTGCGGTGGCACTTGTGTTTTTATTAAAATATTTAATACAGCTGCATATGCTTGTATGTACGTACATATATACATATAAATTCATTCAAAACAGATATTTATTTATTAACTGTGAATATAAAAAGATATTTTACATCTTTTGTATTTTAATTCTGTTCTGCTTTTTTTTTGTGAAAATTGAGAGCTTGAAAAAGATGAAATTCTGTGTGATTGAAAATTTGAAATTGGCGGTAATGGTTTATTGTTGAGGTTTTGATGTTGATGGTTAAAACTAATTTACAAAATTCTGATATGAATATATACTGGATGTTGTGTATTTATTATATAAAAACAATAAAGCTAAGAGTTGAATAGGAACTGTTATACATTATATGCTTAAAAGGTAAAAAATAATAACAGGAAATGATGAAAGGAATTGTACATGTGAATAAGTTTATGTGCAAATACTTTTATAATTTTAAATTTAAAATTAAAAATTTTATTACATGTACATGTGATTTTGAAAATGCCTCAGTTAAGAATTTATTGAAGAT